ATCACTAATCCTGAAAGAGCTCTCACACTTCTGTGTGTAGATAATAGGATGGTATCAAGATTTGTAATAGTGTCTGAAGTCTGCAGCTGAAAGATTAACAACTAAAACTGTCTCATGCAAATTTGCACCTTATTTTAAAAAACACTCGATTATAACCCATCAGATTCTCCTTAATGATTGAGGCTTTTCTTCCTTCCTTCAAATAGGCTAAACCTCTTTTAAAGCATTACTGGCCAAAAGATTTATAGCACGCACACATATTTGGTGCTTTTCCTGATTTATCATATTATAGTTTACTCCTTGCAAAATCAGCCACTCAGCTGCTGGTACAATAATCAGTGGGACTGGTCAGATGTTGCCAACATGAACCTTTTCATGTGAACGTGCTGGTACCTAGATCGGGAAACCCTGTGTTTACTTAGACAGCTCGTGTGACCGCTTACCCTAACACTGGCGATCAGGGTGGTGGGGATGTTTTTAGAATCCACAGCAACTCAGACCAGTGACAGAGTTACAGAGCACGTCCCCAAGTGTTGAGGCACAGAGTGCATAAAACACACACTTTGCTGACTCAGAACTCTACACTTCCTCTGGCATTACCATCATGATACAAAATGTGCGCCAGGAGCTTCGGTGCATGGGATTCCACACCCGAGCAAATACTGTACGTGCAGTGTGTAGGTGGCCTGGTATTTATTTCTATTTAGATGTATTTATGTGTTATATTGAATATCTGCATTTAAAAAAAACACTGATAAAGATGATGCTTGATTATCCTGCACAGTGTGACTTGAGTACGACACAAAACACATTTTAAACCACGTGTTCATGTTTTTGTTTTGTTTACTATAAAATTTGGTCTTTTATGTTTTCTATGAATCTTTATGCAGTCTTCAGAAGTACCGCTACGGCACCTTTAAACAACATTCATTAGTTATTGAACATTAGTTATTAGAAGAGTTTGCCCTCAACAACAAAAGATGGTGTCAACAGACCTCGCACATTTTGATAGTCCGCTGTGTCACACGCTATAACATTGAGTCAGAATGGCAACTAGACACACCTGTAGGGTGCAGTCTCTCCATTTGTACGTTTATCTATTCGAACATCCTGCAAACATCGTGTTAGGAATGTCCTGAAACTGTCGTGACTTCTCTCTTGTCCCGCCTGCTGACTTGTTACGATGTGTTTTGAAAACAGGCCATCTGTGATTCGTAAGCCCCTCGGAGAGCTGGGAAAGGTCAGTGAAGAGGGAGAAAGGAACAGCAAGGAGGAGACCGCTGCAAGGTACTCATGACAGACACTTTCACTTAACACTTAACTATCACGTTAGGTTAGATCGTCTGATGCATTGTTGATGTGTGCAGATGAAAAGAGTTTTTACAACAGTTTCTGTGTTTATAATGAAGACCTAAACAGGACGGATCAGACAGCGATCCATCCATCAGCAAGAACAGCTACAATAATCCTGCCTACTACATCCTGGAGGGCGTTCCCAACCAGTCAGCTGCAGCCGTTTCACCTGAGCTTCTGCCCTCTCCTACCTCAGCCAACCCCCAGGCAGCTAAACCCCCTCCTCCCTCTGCCGGGGCGCGTTCCAAACCCCCCGGCGCAGCCTCGGGGCCCCCTCACCCACGCAGACAGGTTCGTGCCATTAGCGAGGAGAGCTCCTCAGAAGACGATGGAGGTGCTTGTGTTGTTGGGGCACAGGGAGGAGGTGTTGGAAGCACACTGAATCGACCTCCTCCTGACTTCCCCCCACCTCCTCTACCAAAGGGAGCCCTGGAGATGGTTCCCGAGGCCCCCTTCACCAAACCTCGCTCCCTTTACCCCGACCTGGCTGAGGTCAGGATCCCCGCAGCTGGCTCCGCTGCCCACGGAGATGCTTTCAGGCGAGGAGGAGTTGGAGCAGGGGCGCTAGACGACCAGTCGTGCTCTGTGCTCCAGATGGCAAAGACACTGAGTGACAGTGAGTTTCCTGGACAGCCTCCTCGTGCCCCCTCAGCACCGCCTCCTCTCAGAGGGCAGCCGATGGGTTTAGGTCTGGATGCCTGCCGCACCTTCCCACCTAGAAATCCCATCACAGAAAGTATAGCAGAGGATATGCCTGAGGAGGTAAGCAGTTCATGGGAAGTAATTCTGTTCAGTGTAAAACAGTTTCAGAGGCTGGAAGAAGCAATGCTGTGATTTTTGCGTAGTTTTCTTTCAGGTGACTCCAGGTTTTGTGCAGTTTCTCACAAAAACACGAATATCTTCAACTTTGATGTTAAATATCAAAGCCTTTTACTGTAAGATGTGTCACCTTATTAGAGTGAAGAAAAGTAGAGGCAGTCTTAAGCTCTTAGTAATGTTGTTAGCATAAATGATGTGGCGGATGTGGCTCCTGCATTTAGTGGCTCCTGCATTGCATTTCTCCTCCGCAGGCACTTTGGGGCAGCAGTAGCTCATCTCTGTCTGTGGGGGAATCGTCAGTGGGCGAGTGGCTGCAGAGGCTGGGCCTGGAGCGGTATGAGCAGGGTCTTCTACACAACGGCTGGGACGATTTGGAGTTCCTCAGGTACATGAAGATCTAGGCTTTTATTTCCTCTCATAATGCAACAATAAATAAAAATGAAAGCAGTTCTTCATCATTAGATTCCCTTTTTTTTCCCCTCCTTTTTCCAGTGACATCACTGAGGAGGACCTGGAGGAGGCGGGAGTGCACGACTCCGCCCACAAGCGAATCCTGCTTGAGAGCCTCAAGCAGCAGCAGCAGAAATAGACTGCATCAAACTGGTCCATGACTGGTCCAAACCGGCCTGGTACCACACCGGGCCCAATCTCAGCTCAACTGAACCGAGCTGGAACGTGCCAATCGATGCCAGACTGTGCCTTCTGAGAGAAATTGCACTCCATTTGTACTTTCAAAAACACTTTCTGAACCAACGTCCTTTGATTTTCACATGTACTTTATGTGTGTTGTCCTCATACACGTGGCCTTATTTAATGATAATCATTTCAGTCCTTCAAGCATCACTACATAACTTTGGCTTTTAAATCCAGAGAGGAGATCAGGTCAGACCCAACCTGCAGCTTCAAGTTGGCATTTAAAGCTTGTTTCCATTTGGCCTGAGAATCCTCTAACAGAGGATGACTTTGAGAAAGAGAAAAGAGGGCTTTGAAAACACACCACCTGTGTTGCGCACCCTCGCTTTGGACTCTTAACAACACTGGGTTCTTCCGAGTCTCCGATTTTTCTTCCTCCCACTCGTAGTCAACAAGACATCAGTGGGAATAATTAGAACAGTCGGGAGTAACATCCGCCCCAGAGCTCGGGCGGAGGAACCTTTTAACTTGTGTGATGGAGGAGAGCAGGAAGCGGTGATCGAAAGGAAACTAGAAAGTCAGGCTTAAGTGAGATAAACTCAAATTTTTTTTCAGTTTGTGTATTCAGTTAATGATGTGCAGGCCGCTGTTGTTATAATGGACGCCTGTGTTGTCTGAGTGTCTGTCTGTATTTATGGTTTTATGAATGTTTTTAATGATAAAGGGAATATCGAGCAAACCAAATTAACCCCGTTAGAGCTAAAGGTGTATTCCACCTGGGTGCAGCATGTTAGGTGACTGTGTTAGCCATCAACTTGTCAAGTCGCCTTTTTTTAGGTGGCCTGTTGCAGCTGGTTATTGAAACAGTCAGTATAGGTCAATAAAATGAGGAGGCTAAATGGTGTAATTAATGCTGTACCAAGGTGAAATATGTCAAAGATTTTAGCAGAGTACATTTCTCATTCTCACATGTTGCCTGTGAAGATGCTGAATTTGAATTCACAGAAGAAAATGTATGTTATTGCTTGTTGCCTTGAAAACATGTCGGCATATTTTCTGCGTTTCATTTTCAAATATATAAATGGAGCAGCGTTCAGGCAAATTGGTTAACGTAGCCAAATACATGAACTAATTCAACACCAAAACATTCGTTTTCTCTCTGACATTTTACTGTCATTTAGTTTGTTTTTTTCTTAAATTACTCAACGCATTGCCTAGCTTTAGGATCATGGCACCTTTTACTCTTATGGGAGACGCTGTCAACTGACTGAAAACAGAAAACTCAGGTTTCTGCAGGTCAGGTGCGACGTCAGGGCTACTGTTTCTGGATGTGAGCAGCAGATGGCGCTGTTGCGCCACAAACCTGACCCTGGAAACCTGCGGAACACAGGACGAAGTATGCCAGTAGCGGTTACACTCCTTAGTCAAATTTGGTTTTAGATTTAGTTTTCAAGCAGTTAAAAGTCGGATAGTTTTGTTTGTTCATAATTTCAATTTAAAAAAGAAAAGACCTTAAAGAGATGTGACTTCACCTCCACATGCCTAACACCTGCCTTCTAAGGGGGATCACCAACACTAAGATGTGAATGTCATGTGTGTTTACTGCTGTCAACATAGTAAAGCATTCATCTCTAACTCTGTGAATGAGACCTTCATTCACGCCTCAAAGAGAGCCCCCTCCCACCCAAATACACTGTTGAATTATAACCTTTGACTCTACTCGCCTCTTATGTTTGTTTTTTTACAATGTGTCTAATCCTTTAACGGCCCAACCGTCACAGCACAGAGACTGGATCTGTCGTTCAGTTGTGTTAAATTTAAGTCTTTTTGAGCCTTTTCAGTGTTCTCAGTGATGTGTGTGTGTGTGTGTGTGTGTGTGTGTGTGAGTGTGTGCTGTGTGTGTGTTGTGTGTGTGTGTGTGTGTGTGTGTGTGCTGTGTGTGTGTGTGTGTGTGTGTGTAGTGTGGGTGGGTGTGTGTGCTGTGTGTGTGTGTGTGTGTGTGTGTGTGTGTGTGTGTGTTTGTAAGTGGAAAAAAGAGACTTGTTGTTTTATCTGACACTCCATTTCTTGTTGTTTCTTCATGCAGTCTACGTCGGTTATGTTAAATTAATGTAGGTTGTTCACCCATGTATTTTTATTCAATTAAATTGTAATACCCTTACATATTTAAACATGAACTTATTCTCTTGGTTTGTCGTCAGCAGAGGAAGCTGTGAGCTGTAGACCTGCTTCAAAAAAGAGAGAGCTGGGTTTACAAATGTCATAAAGGCAACATATCAACTATGTAAATTGAGGGGGGAAAATCATGATTTTAAGAACAAAAAAGATCACTCTGATTTTATGGCAGGAGCGCGTTTAACATTCTGCACCTCTTCCTTTAACAACAGTCCGTAAACCTTGACAGACTTCTGGGAGGGGAATGCTGTCCCGTTCTTGTCTGATATCAGATTCTGGCTGATCAGCAGTCCTTACTCTTCTGTCATAGTTTTTGTTTCATTGCTCCAGATGTTTGTTTGGGTTGTTTTTTGGGTTTTTTTTTAATATTTGGTGAAAGTTCTGCTGGCAGGCCAGTACAGCACCTGCAGTCTTGCAGCAGTATGCGGTTTAGCATCATCCTGCTAAAATATGCAAGGATGGGAAAGTATCTTCCTCTCTTTCATCCAGAGGATGCAGCATTTCACGTTTCAGTTTGTGATGACATTTTAAATGTGCATTGTTCCCCTGAATCATCTTCACATGCAGCGTCTTCTTTGCACGATAGAGCTTTAACCTTTGTGGATGGCACGGTGCTCACAGATAATGATTCATGGATGTTTCTGAGCCCATGCTGTGATCTCCATGAGAGAATAAGGCCTGTTTTTATCCAAAGTTTCTCCAGATTCTCTGAATCTTTTGGTGATATTATGTGCTGTGAATGGTGAGATAGTAAAGTCTTCACAATTTTATGTTCAGGAAGATTATTAGAAAATAATTTTGCAATTTGTAGACTGGAGAATCGCCTCTCTAAGATGCTTTATTTTATATACCTGATCATCTTTTATTACTGACCTGTTGCCGATTAGCACAATTAGTTGCAAAATGTTCCTTCAGCTGTTTCTCTTTAGGACCACTGACTCTTCTAGCCTTTTGTTGCCCCTGTCCCAATTTTTTTGCGATGCATCGCTGCCATCAAATTCTCATTGAGCTCATATTTTATAAAATAGTCACAATTTAAACATTTCATATGTTTGTTTTTTCTATTCTGTTGTTAACTGAGATTGAGATTTGCAGATCATTGCATTCTGTTTTTATTTACATTTTACACAGCATCCCAACTTTTTTGGAATTGGATTTGTATGACAACCTGTATATGTTTGCACATAAAACACAACACTGTTATGGTGATGCCACACACAAGAAGCCAGACCACCACGCGTGCCAGGTAATGCCTCCATAATGTAGATTTATTAGAATATTCAGAGTAGTGCTATAACATCTCATTCACTCGAGCTTTCTGTCAGTCCATAGTTGTCGTTGACGCGTTGGTCCGTGAGACAGGCGCTCTGCAATGAAATGGATCTGTAAAGCAAAAAACCAAAAACAAAGCCTACCTAATATTTATATTACTAATTACAGAATTTACAGTCACAAAACTTTATGGGGCAGTTCAAATAAATGCGCAGGTTTCTCACTGACATAATAAAAATATTAATAAATACTTTTTTTTTCTTCCTCAGAAACCAGTGAGTTTCATCAAAATGCAATAGAGGTGATTTACAAGCAACTCTCGCAAGCTAAAAAAAAAAAGGAAAGAAGAAACAAAATCTGAGTATTAATGCGGATACAGTACAAAACTCCATCTCTCAGTGTATTGCCAGATTACCCCACATGTCACCTATGGGAGAGAAACGTGTGACTCGTAAGCCTGCTAAAGACCCTAACCCAGACTGCAACCTGCTGTACAAACTCATTTGTTCGCTTCAGTCCGGTCAGAGACGTCAGATATAATCAGGCTACAATCTGCTTTATTCCGAACAAAGAACGGGGGAGGAAGTAGCAGCATATGAACTAAAAATGGAGTCGAAACACCTTAAAGTCTCCAACTCTTTGCCTTGCAAAAGTCTGACAAACTGTTTGATAGATAAAGGCATGATGGGACGGCGAGAGTGTGGGATTCTGGAGGACTTGATACAGTAAAGAAGGAGGGGGGAGCGTGAGGTGAACTGGGGATGTCTGGTCTAGACCCGGCAGGTCTAATTGGATTTTTGGGTGCCCCTGCTCTGCTTGGCAAAGAGATTTAGGGGGGAACCTATTCCAACTGGTGAAAGCCTGTGTGTCGGGGGGGCTTAGAGGAAGTTGTGCTTGAGGGTGAAAGTTTGCTTCCCCAGCAGATTTCAGAGTGTGATGTTTAGATTTCTGCTTTAAACTCGTACCTGACCGCCATACTCATCAGAGCTGCTGCCATGCACCACCGAGTTTGCTGCAGTGCAGTGAGTGTGGGAATGTAAGTGCACCAGACAGACCGAAAAGACGATGCAAATATGGACAGTTTAAGGGCCTGTATAGTTTACCGTTATTAAGTAAAGTATTTCTCTTTGTTTTATCGGAGAGTGAGAGTGGAGTCATTGCAGGAAAGGGAGGAAACTGCCCGTGTCAAGGTAGGTTTTACAGGTACAGTGTGCACTGTTGCATAATATTTTTGGACGGCAGATGGTGAGCAGACCTGTGATTTTATTTTCTGAGTCGGTAAGAGAAGAACTGAGAACCTTGCTGGACCGCAGCAGACTACAGCAACGGATTCAGTGTTTTAATGGGCAAGTCTTGTCTCTCTCCACAAAGGCTAGAAACTCCTCTCGCTTACAGTTTGTTTCTCATTTGTCTTGCTCTGTTCTTCAGAACAGATTCGTCTTGATGGTGGGATTGGGTTTTCTGTGGAAAGAGGACAGAACTCCGGCAAAGGGCCCGGTCATACTGTCCGCTGGCTGCCAGGCCTTCAGAATCTCCTGAGTCTGGGCAGCGGGCTGCGCCACGGCCGGGTTGGAGGGCCCCAGACTGGACCAGCTGGGAGGCTTCAGCCCCTGGAGAACCGGAGAGCTGGAGGTGTTGGTGTAGCTGCTGTTGGCAGGAGCCGGACTGGGGCTCAAACTGGCAGGGCTCCCCAAGTTTCCATTGGCTGAGCCCGGCAGGGAGGCCGTGCTGTCAGGTGTGGGGCTACAGGTGGACTCTTTAGACTCATCATCATCTGATGAAGATCTTGGCTCCCCGCCCTTTTTCCCTCCAGAGCTGTTGTTGGTGCTGCTGCCTGTGGTGCCAGCAGAGCTGTTGGCTTTGGCATTGGCTGCGCGCTCCTGCTTACGGAACTTGGCACGTCTGTTCTGAAACCACACCTGACAGAAACACACATACACAGGTGAAGACGGGGCATTAGGCGGATACACAGTTTTATTTGTTATATAAGTGTCAGACGTCCTGACTTTCACTTCATTTCAGTCGTGCTGAAGATTTAAAAGCCTGATGGCACACCTGTACTCGGGCCTCGGTCAGGTCTATCTTCAGCGCCAGCTCCTCCCGGGTGTAGATGTCCGGGTAGTGCGTCTCTGCGAACACGCGCTCCAGCTCCTTCAGCTGGGAGCTGGTGAACGTGGTCCTGATACGCCGCTGCTTCCTCTTCTCGTTCAGGCCAGATGGGTCCGAGAAGAACTTGTAAGGGACTGAAAGGGAATAGTTGTTTCCGTTTAATAAAAGATTTTTTTTTAATAGGGCTAAACTAGCGCGTAAAACTGCGGAGGCCGAGCACTGAGTCGCAGAGGCCACGAAACATTTCACGCCTCATCTCGCCGCATTTTTTTTAATTTAACTTTAAAAAAATATATATATATATTTTTACGTTTATTTTTGTTTTGTAAAAAAAGTTTTGGGAAATTTTCTGTTCTTAAAATAGTTATTAAAAATAAATAAAAAAATAGCTCTTGTAAGGTTACTGAATAAGGAGGATTAATTGGTTTTAAACCCATCCGTAGCTGACATCTGGCCACACCAACCCGGACACCGGGAGGCTGTACAATCGGTTGATTTATAATAAAATGTTTAGTGGGAAAAATCCATTAACTGTTTGTTTATTCTCTCTTTTTTTTAAGTTATTATTACCCATTTTTAAGTGTTAACCATTCTTCCTTACTGAAAAAAATAAATCAAAATCACCTTGTTATAAGCTTAAATAAGCCGGGTTATTGGATTCATTTATACAGAGTTTTGCCACAAAAATAATTCGCCGTCTAAGATTGTTAATGCAAACAGAAACTATGAGATTCTCCAGCACTTTAGTCAGTTAAAATCCACAGACACTGCGGAACAACAAACATTAATTACTTGTTTAAATAATGATATAATTATCCCCGCTAAAAATAAAGAATGATTCGCCTTTTCTATTGTTATTATTGTTATTATTATTATTGTTATTATTATTGTTGTTATTATTATTGTTATTATTATTATTATTATTATTATTATTATTATTATTTCATCATCTCCTTCATAAGCATGATATTTAATTTAGTCATTTCCACTAAAATAAAGATAGTTTGGAAAAAAGCCTCGGGTTTAAAATTTGTGTCATATAAAAAAGTTAAATATGATCATATATTTCGCCCTTCTCTTGCCGATCTTTTGGTGTCTTAATGAAATCTTGCGGAGACCTTGAAACGGGAACACAAGGAGAGGTTCCTGTACCTGAGGAGTAAGGTGTGGGCTGGTGCTCTCGCAGGGCTCCCAGCGTGCAGCTGGTCGTGCTGAGGGGAGTGCAGCCAGGGTTGGAGAAAGGGCCGCTCCGGATCGGGTTGTACTGGAAGGAGCTGGCCTGACTGCAGGAGCTGAAGTCCGCGTAGGCCGACGCTTCCATGGCTGCCATGCAGGAGTCATAGGAGTTCAGGTATGAGTAATCCATCTTATACATGGAGGTCAGCCGGCGCAGACACCGGTCTGTGAAGAAGTGCGCTGGAAACTCGGGTCAGGGCGGCTTCAGTCGGGTCTGAGGCTGCTGTTAGTTTCTGGGATTGCTGGGAGTCGTTTAAACCAGTCAGAGTTGGACTTTTTTCTCCAGAATCTCCTGACGCGGTTGGTTTGTTTCTCCAGGCTTTTGTGGGCTTTAAGGTTTGTATGTCACCGTCACGCGGCTGGTAAGTAATCCAGATGTTTTCTCTGCAGCTCCGCTCTCTCTCCCTACTCTCCCCTCTCTCTGTCCGTCTCTTCGGCTCCCCTCCCTGGACTGAGGTTCGCTCTGCGCTCGCGCTCCGTTTGACAGCGCGCAGCGGCTCGCGCGCTGTTTATAATAAACTTGGCAGAGCGCGAGACAATAGCGAAGGCGGTGGTCTTGTTTCCATGACAATGCCACCAGTGAGCGAGCACGGACACGGACAGCCCCCCTCCCCTCTGCTCCCCTCCCACCGCTCTCTGCACCGCCCACGCGGCCCACAGCATCGCGAGCTAGCAGGTGTCAGCGGAGTTAAATCGCGCGCGTCTAAAAAGAATTACAGCGCGCTATAACGCGCGTGCATCCTTAATCGGACGTTTGTGATTCCGGTGAGTTCAGAGTTTTTCTTTCAGCCGTAATGTGACCAAAACCGAACGTCTCTGTTTCAGAGTTTTACTGACGCGACACTACAATCAGTGTTTACGTCATAGTAATGGCCTACCTGTCGCCTGGGCGAACACAGGTGTTACTAATGAAATTAATGTAGGTGCTTAGCTTAATTCATTCCAGCTGTTTAAATGAAAAATTCAGCTGGTGAATAAAGTTTACAGGTGGAAATTATTTGAACAACTAAATGAATACATTTTTATTCATTTTTTACTCCTAGCTATACTTTGAAGCCACTCGCTCTGAAAAAACTTGGACCTTACAGAATATGCATGATCGCTTTGGAAACCTTGTCTGTGATTTTCATTTATTTATTTATTTAGGATGGGTCTTCTAGGAACTAAAGTAAAGCACGAATGTAGCCAAACAACACATCAGGCCTACAAGCTTGGAAACATTTTATTTTTAAAACATGAATACAAAGAAGCTAATTTTATAAAGAAAATGTGCGCCGTGCTTGAGAAACACACCCTCGGGATAGACATCCTCGCTGTTCTGGGAGGTTCTAGTGAAGCGTTTTTTGCGATATTAAGACATATGTGACGACTTTAAGCCATAACAGTCTGCTTAATATCGTCACAGGCGACTGAAATATGCACAAACAGATTCACCCCCCTAATAATAATAATAATAATAATAATAATAATAATAATAATAATAATAATAATAATGCTCCATAACCGGTCAATAGTGTCCCTGCGAGCTCCTGGAACCATCCGCGGCTCAGCCACAGAAGTCTTTATGTGAGGGGAAACGTCCAGATGTGACGGTGATTGGTGAGATTAAAAGCTTTGATTTGATTCCGATCACTTTTACGGAGATGTCACCAGAGTGAGCGTCAGTTTGATGTATAGGACTAGAGAGGGAGCTGGCTGCGGAGACAACCGAGCAACCAAACAGGCTAACCATAAACGCATTGAAGCTTCATAAATTGGTTTAAGTTTATTGTTCGGTGTCATACAATGTGATAAGTCATATCCCACACGGCCCCCATTACACAGACACGCGCGCGCACAAACGGGGAGGCTTTGAAACCGGCAGGCAGGCAGACGCGCGCGCGCTCCACGTAGCTGCCAAATGTGCATGGTGCCATTTTAAAAAAGAGGGGGTTTCTCGCTGCTTTTCGTGAAATTAACACGTATTTCATTAGTTCTAGCAAATAATAAAATCCACAAACCAAAATTAGGTTTTGCGTGTACGCGAGGAATTAATTAAGTTTGGCCTGCGTGCACGCATAAAAATGTCTCAACGTGCGCGCCCTGCCTTCCTTTGACCACAGGCTGCACACGCTGCAGCTGCTCCTGATGATGATGCTGTTGATGCTCCTTAATGACATTAACCCGCTGCACACGCGCGCATGCGCGCATTCGCCTCTCCGCGTTCGCTTAAACTACAAATAAGCGACAATAATCAGATTTGTTTACGGTGTTTATCGTGTGATGGAGTTCGAGGCGGGGCGGCGCGCGGGGCTAGTTGTGTTCAGATGGTAGATGCTGCCTGAACATCACAGATGAGGCCCGCACGAGACAAACAAGTCTGAGGCCGCTGATTTGTCATTACAGGGACCCAACTCTTTTTTTTCTTTTTTGTATAATTCGATTTTATTTTATTTACGATTTTTTTCTAGGAATTGTTAAACTCAAAGACTTCGTTTTACAATACGCTACTTATCAAAACCACCGATTTAATGCACATTTGAAAATATTTGGGGCATCGCCGTCACAAAATATCGTTACGCATTCGTTACAGCTCAGTGCAGCTGGTACACGAAGGTCTTTTTGACTTCAGGAGAAAGACTTTACACATGATATTAATAAAGAAAAAAAGTTAATTATGGACCACTTCATTTATTGCTTCGTGTGTGCGTCACAACATTTTATACGATTTTCAAATCCTTAAACAAAATCACAGCGAACCTCCTTAACGCGTGAACTAACAGGGATAACCTGCATCAACCCTTATAACATTTAAGGCACTTAAATAAATACAGCCCTACATTGTGTGAGTTTTTCTTTCCTCCGTTGGATTTCCACATTAACCGGTCAGCTCCCAGGCCTTCCATTTGTTGTATGTCCGCTTTTCTCTTTGCTGGGTTCAGAGGTGAGTTTACCGAGAAACTTAAACAGTTTCACAGTTAAACTCTCCAGGGTCGTTTCTGCCTTCCAAAAAAAAAAAAAAGCGCAGCCAGGAACGACCCTAGCTCTCCCGCTTTTAAACCATTTAAACTTTAATCCCTTCAAAGAAGGGACCGGTCTCTTCCAGGCCGCTAATCCGCCCTATAGTGCTCCGGCGCAGGGGGAGACTTCTCTGCTGCGAAGGCTTTAACTTTGGACTTTTACATTCATGGGGCGATTTTTAGGAAACAGTAACGGGGAGCTTTGGCATTCATGGCGTCTGAGTCAACAGAGGGGGCACACAATGGTCCCCTAGAGGCTCCTGAGAGCCCCTGAGAGAGGAACCCCGACGGATTATAGGCCCGTGGGTTATTAGGGAAAAGCGAATGAAGGCCCGTAGCGTGCTGTCTGTTTGTGAGCAGAGTATGACTGACTCCTTTCAGCGACTGATTGGTAACATTATCTGGTAATAAACATTCAAATTACCGCTGATAAAACTGTAAATGACAGCTCTGCAAAATAAAATAGAATTAAATAGAATTGAATTTATTGCTGAAGCTGTCATATTGCTGAAGCTGAAGCTATCATTTTTAATGCGCTAACCTCGAAGTCTATAATAATAATAATAATAATAATAATAATAAAATCGTAATAATTGTATTTCAAGGTTTCATGGGAGAAGTTTTAAAGCCCAACCCAATCACTTCATGTTCTCAGTGAGGGACTTACTGAGGTCACAAAATGACCCAGAGCGCATTAACCTGCATGTTTTCTTTTGTTTTGCTTGCTTCTTCTTCTTTCTTTTTCTTTTTTTTTTTAAATTCAGGCCACATTAATTGTCCTGTCTGCCCGCTAAAGGGGGATGATCCGCAGAGAAATTAAATTCTCGGCGTTTCTTTTTTCTGCTCCCGTCTTTCCTGCTGCTCTAATTCCTTGTGATGGTCTTCCTGCCCTAACGACACCGACTGGAGCTCTGCAGGGCTGCATGCAGATTGGCCTTAACGAAGAGGGCGGTCGGAAACTCGTGTGTGCGCCTTGTTGGCGGTGATGGCGCACGGATGAAAAGGGCGGCCTGTGTGATGGATGGATGGATAGTCTTGAAGGAGAGATGGAGAGGTGTGTGGGTAGAGACGGGGGGAGAAGGGGTCAGTGAAGGATGGGACAGCGGCGACACTGGCGTGATGAAAAGCCACCCGGGAGGCCCAGTCCGGTTTCTGTCTCTGTGACAGGCGGCGGGTCTGATATCCAAGCGAGGCTGTCAGTCAGAGAGGGAGACTGCCAGGTCCATCCATCCATCACCGAAGCTCAAAGAAGAACATGTCCCATGTGCTCAAAGCAGTTTTCTTGCTCCAGACTCAGGCAGCTATTGATTCGCAGGTCTGGATATTAACCTCCTCTTTGTCGAGCTTTGAAAAAGAGCTGTAATGCTCGAATAAAAGCAGAGATTACACTATTTCATCGACTTAACTGAAGTCAGTGCCAAGGTCCAGAGTACAATAAATATTACACTACATGATGTGAGCATAGCTACATCCAGCTGATGGCTGTGCACCAAGAGAAATGCTTTTTTAGGCAGGCGATAACCCTCCTTCACTGCCTGGTTTAGGGTGACCAGGTGCCCGTCTTTAAGTTTTACTGCACGGCATTTTTAGTCCTCCTCCTCCTGCAGGACATGCGGTTTTCTAAAGTCTGGATTTTACCCCGAACTATCAGAAAGAAAAAAAAGAGCCAACTGGCCACTAGAGTTTTTCCGTAACCCC